TTTAATAAAGGGAAAGAAATAAAGTGAGTGTTGGTCAAATGATTATAACTAACAATTTGTTCAGTTACCAGGTGTTATTAACATGTCAAGCTAAGCTTTGTGGCTGGACGCTTGGACCAGGAGTCCGTTTAAAGATGCATGTTTACTGAAGACTGAATAGTTTTCTTAACCTGAAATCAGGTTTTCAGCTTCAGAGTGTTTCCTCAACCTCTCTTTCAGTCATTTGAATGAGCTTGGATGCAACAGTTATTAGCTGCTGTTAGTAGATGGCACTCCCCGGCTTCAATAGCAGGTCTCACCTGCATATAGAGGAGGCACCAGCATGTCATTTGTTATTTAGTGCACCACTAGATGGTGATAAATCTCACACAGTGTCCTTTTAAAAATTTTGAATCAGTTTTGCTTTAATAAAAAAAAATGTTTTCTTTTGTTTCTAGAACCACAAAGAAAATATTGTTGTTTCTTAAAAAAAAGAAGCTAGAAAAAGAGTAGGATAGCGAAGCATAAAAGTAGCTAGACTGGTTATTAAGGAGGAGTGTTTGCCTAGTGGTTAGAGCAGTACGCTTGTGCTCTAAGAAGGTTACAAGTACCATGTTTGATCCCCACAGCCTCCACTCTGGGTTCCTGAGCAAAACCCTTAACCCCACACTGCTCCCCGGGCGCCACACAATGGCAGCCCACTGCTCCCTAATGGGATGGGATAAATGCAGAGTGAATTTCTCCATGTGGACAATAAAGGGATTTACATCATATATTAACCTATTTAATCAGGAAAAAGGTCTGACTAAGTTAATTTGCATGTTATATTTTTAAGTTATTGATATTAAGTTTCTCTTAAGGAATTATTATCAGTATATGAATTTTACAAATTTTTGCTTAAAAAGAGGGCCCTGAGCAATTAACCAGTCCCCCTGTTCCTTATGCTGGCTCTAAGTGGCTGTTTATACTATCATTATTTTATCTATTTTATTTTTGACTAAATATAAATGTATCTCTGCATTTTATATGTTTAGTTTGTATGTTGAATTTTAATACAGATCACCCCAACTACAGGCTATATCAATCTAAAAATTCTCAAATTCAGATAAATGTTCAATTCAATTCCAATTATGTACCATCAAATTTAATTGATCACATATTTATAACCCTGCAGAGCACTGACAATGCTTTTAACTAAAAAAGTAAAAGACTTGATTTCTGAATAGAAAGGGATTTTTTTCAATGACACCTTTCAGATTTTAATGACTGAAATATGATGTTTATATGTCTTACTGTGTGTTAGGACCAAATAAAGAGCATCACAGTTGACCTTTATACCTGGAATATCTTAGCATTTTTTCCTTTAACTGCAGGTTTATCTCTAGATAAGAAATACCACAACTTCTGTAACTGACCTGAATGCTGATCAGTGGTTAAAGCTTAAACAAACTAAAAATTGTATCTAAAAGTTCAAGATTTTCATATAAGAAATAATCATATTGCATTAATTAGTTCAGTTTGCCAAAGTCCAGGAAGAAACACTTAGTAAAGAATTTCTTTGGGGTTTTTTTTTTTTTGGAAGTTAATCAAGTTAAAATATCTGCACTTAGCGGTTTATTCCACTAGATGAGGCTGTTGCTCAACATGTCTATGATTCTCCTTATTTAGCAATGAATACACAGAGTAAAATGTAAAAAACAAACAAACAAACAAACAAAAAAAAAAAAACTAAAGTAATATCTTTTGAGGAAAATTTTCAAATGTCCCCCAGAATTTCTTTAAACCACACAGGGTCCTAATTATGCATACATTTTCTAATATATGCTGAATATAAGCATTCTCTAAGCAGGCTGTTATTCATAGCTAACTGATATTTCCTTGGTCAAAATACCTGCTGGGAGATGCAGATGTCTCACTGATAGTTACAGGAGTGATTGTGTGTCAAAAGGTATTTCGTAAAGGGTACGTACCATTGTTTCCAGGCCTGTTTCATAACCTTATTTTTTGAAGTTATTCTGTTGAAGTATGATTGAAAAGTGAGAACTTTCATTATTGTTTTTCATTTTAATAGATTTTTCTATTGTTACTTTTGTCAGATTCAAGTTATTTTTGTGACAATTGTGGATTTTTCTTTGATTGAACGAGGGGTACCAATAATTTTGTCCACATGTTGCAGCAATTCAGATGACATCTCAAGGCCTTATACAGAAACAATTCAATCTAATAATACAGACTGATTGATTGATTGATTGATAAAAGGTGCTTGTTGATTTCCTCCTTCTTTTGTCATGCAGTAGCCCTAACAATTATTAGACTGTCAGAATGATATTTACACCATGGTGCTTCACAGATGCAGTAATATTACACTTGAAAGTCATATAATACTTTCTTTAAGTCAATTAACTCAGTGTTTGCTAGTCTGACCATTAGATGCTTAGCAAATTGACAACTTTGGCTTAAGCCTTGGTGGTTCCTAAGGAGTTAATGAACAATTTATTTTCATTTGAGGCTGATAGTTTGTCAGATTGTTTAAAATCTGGGCACAGTTGGCTATTACAACAGGGCAATAATCCCATACATACTTAAAAACTTGTTTATGAATGGATAAAGCAGGCTAAAATAAAAATTCTGCAATGGCCTTGACAATATGTCCCACTGAAAAATTCTCAACTGTTCTTTGATCTCTGGCAGGAAACCAATATATTTCAGTAGACTGGATTTGAGATAAGGAAACTGTGTAAACATCTAGTTGCTGCAGTTTTGTGTAAAATAATTATTCCACCCTGGAAAAGGAATTGTTCAAACGAAACAGCCCAAGATTGACAGGATTTTATGTCACTCACTAATGAGGGAATGCTGACTTCTGCATAATCTTTTTATGCTTCTCTCTATCTTCAACCCATATCAAAATAATTAAATGAGTTTAGACCTCTCTCCTCCACATCTCTTGTTATGAAAAACTTTGAAAAAATCCTCATAGAAATCAACCTTGGCCGTATTGACAGCTATCCAAGATCCACTACAGTTTAAATATTTCAAAAAGTAAAGGGAGTAGATGATGCAAAGATTTTATATTGGACAAAATACATCAGAATTGTGAAACACCAGGAAACCATGCCAGAATTTATTGGCAGATATTTCTTCTGTTTTTAATTAGATGCAACCTCATATTTTATTTGAACGTTTAGCATCGTAATTAATCCTTTCCATGTAGATTTTATTGCTGCTTTTACTTTTTTATTACTTAGCCCAGCAGGTTAAAGGGAGCAGTCATATTTTAATGGCTGTATCCTTTCAATTCCCTTGTACATCATGTACACAGACCCCTGCAGAGCTGGGGGGCGGGGATGGTTATCTAATTAAGTTCTCTGATGACAGCGCCCTGCTGACCTTTTTACCGGGCCCTGAATCAGGGCCTGCCTTTGATTTCTCCATATGGTGTGGAGAGAATCACCTGTACTTTAATGTACCGGTAACAAAAAAAAAAAAAGAAAGAAAGAAAGAAAAAGATGATTGATTTTGGGGAAAATGCTACAAAACAACATGATAGCAGTATCATCCACAGTGCAAAGATTGAAACTGGAGAGACGTATAAGTGCTTATGCATAATATTTGACTCTGAAGTAAAATGTAAAAAAATACAGAGGATATTACAAAAATAGGCCAAAATAATATTTACCTGCTGCAGAAACGAAATTTTTTTAATGTATGCAAACCCTTTTTATCTGTCTTTTGTTTATTGAGAATCTTTTAAAGGTATAGTGGACCTGTCCTCTCCACAAATGCACATGCACAACCCTGTAGCCGCTCCCGAGAGGGAACGCCTATTAAACGTGAGCATGCACAAGCCCATTTCTCCTCATGCACACTGTTTAAAAGCTGCTGTTTGCATCGCTCATACAAGCTTACTTTCCAAAAGAAGATTTGCAATTTTTCCACTATGTCAGACTCACCACCGGTAAGTGAAAATGGGGACAGCCTTATGCAAACATATCACCAGAATGATTGACAATTATTGACCACTTATTTTGATGATCCACCCAGAAAAAGAACATTCTCCACAATACCTTTAACTTTAATGTTTTATGTGTTGTTTTTATGGATAGTCGGTTAAGAACAAAATGGGCCGCTACCTATTTACCAGTGGGAAAACAGATTGATATGCAAATTTTTTATTTCTTCTGCCAAATGTTTAGTGCTTTTATGTTGTTCATGTTGCTCCTAAAGTTTAATTTACCCTCACCAATTTTTTATGTCCAAGCACTTGTCCCTTTGCTGCTGACAGGGAGCATCTGCACCTTATGGCTGGATCCAATGCTTCTCCTCTGTCCACTACATTAACAGACCTCTGGGTATTCATGTGTTTGTGGAATAGTTTTGTCATTTGCTGCAACCAGTATATGTGAACAGATTTACCCTGATTTGTCTAAAAATAAATCTGAAATCACACCAGTCAATTGAAAAATATACATTTGAAATACCAGGAGAGTGAGATCTGATGTCAGTTCATGGAATTTAGGTTTAGGTGGAACTACTGATCATGTTTTCTCACTTACACTCATTCCTGGAATTCCATTCTTTTTCATAATCAATCATCTATCGTATATATGTCGTGTTGTTTGAGTAAAGCAGATAAAAGGCCCTGACTAAGTTTTATTAAGCTTCAAGTAAGCACAAACTGTATTCTTTCTTTAAATAATTATCTGATTAACCCATCCCTTTTAAAGAACAGTGGATTTAAGTTCTAATCTCCTTGCTATTATTATCATATGTCATATACTGAGGTTAGTTTCTCAGTATTGGATGTTTAAAGAAGAGTTACTAAATGATTCACAAAATGAAGCCAGGTATTGATTCACAACACTTTACTTGGAATTGTGCAACAGTAATGTCAGGGATAACTGTTGTGTAAGCGGTAACTGTAGATGACAACAGCTTGTGCCAGAGTCCAGTCCAGTCAAGTTGGATTCTCCTGCACAATTGAGACAGTTTCAGTCTCTTTCCTGTCTTAATTTCTCTATGGCTTCAGCTGAGACAGAGCACAGAGCTCCCTTCTCACTGGACTCCTACTATGTTTCAGAGAAACTGGGCTTTGTGCTTCCAGACCCTCTGGTAGGTAGGAATAGCTCTTCTGATCATTTTGATCATAATCCAGAAAGTCTGTGTGAAATGCTAGGTATTTGAGACTGAGTGCAATTCAGAACTGGGCTGTAAATTACAAACTGTCACTTGTACTGATATAAGTCCATGCAGAACAACAAAAACTGTTGCCTTTATCTTCATGATTTACAAAACTCTGAATTCTATCAAGCAGTGAATGAAACTAACTGATAAAAATGAGCATAAATACACTCAGCTAATATTTGATTTCTGAATAGACTTTTCCAAAGAAGCAGGCTTTGCTTGTTCAATATCCAATTCTCCCATTGTGCGCCAAGCTCACTGCAGAAATAAACGTCAGATATAAAGTTTTATTGCCATGTTTTTGCTATTTTGATTTATACTTGTTTGATTTGTCCCGACACTTAAACTCCTTATTTCAGGAAACTCTTCCACCTTTTTACCAGCCATGGATGTATATTGCCCTACGTGTGCCAGAATTTGTGAACAGTCATGAGCTGCGCTCCCATATTAACCAGGTAAAAGGTGACAATAAACTGCCAAGCAGAGTTCACTGCTAATTATTTGCAAGATTCCTCAGAGCTGTCATGTTTTCCAGATGCCGCTGCTGAGCACCCAGTTCCTCCAAAGCCACAGAGAATTACGGCTTGCCCACCTGGTTCTTAGCATGATCACCATGGGCTACGTGTGGCAGGAGGGTGAAAATAATACTGTTAAGGTGATGCAATTTCCCTTTTTCTCATTCATTTGTCTCCGATCAATTCATGTTTGAGGTTATTCTTTTTGGACAATCTTCAATAAAGATGCTGCCAAGAAACCTGGCTGTCCCTTACTGGGAGGTATCACAGCGCTTAGGGCTTCCCCCAATACTCACCCATGCAGATGCAGTATTAGCTAACTGGAGGAAGAAAGATCCAGAGGGGTAACAAAATAAATGTTTATCATTATATTACCATAAAAAGAAATTGATTCTTTAAAATTATTCTGCTTCTCTTTTTGTGTTTTTCTTCTTAACTGAAATATCAGACCTTTTAACATGGAGTGAGTATTCTGTATTTTGGTTTTCCTCTACTTCTGTTCCTCAGGAATATTTTCGCTTATGCTTTTTCTTTGCCACACAGGAACCTGGAGTTGCTGGTCAGACTCCCAGGTGGTGACAGTGTCAAAGGTTTTTTCTTGGTCACTCTGCTGGTGGAGCTTGCAGCAGTGCCTGCAATAAGGGTGAAGATGTATCACAAATACGTTACTTGAAATAACAAATATCAAGCTCTGTTTTAAGTGATCGCCTGACAGAGGACTATGAAAATCATCTCTAAAAATTACTTGAAAATTATGAGGTCTCAGAAAAAAATGATTGTGAAACTGTGTTTCAGAGCATTCCCACAGTCATCAATGGTGTCAGAAGTGGTGACACAGTTGCTGTGGCCAAAGCCCTGGGGAACATAAGTCAGTCTATACAGGACATGAATGATGCACTTAAACTGATGCATGGTAAGAATTTGATTTTAAATGCTTGACATTTAACTTAAAAATAAAACCCTTAATCAAATACTATTTCTCACAGTATATGTGGACCCTTCAGTCTTCTACGGCATTATGAGGATCTACCTGTCTGGGTACAGAAGTCTATTTGGCCTTTTTTCCCCCCCTTTTTTGCAATACTTGTAATTTCCTCACTTGGAATGCTTTTCTTAAAATTCAAGCATTCTTTTTCTTATTCCTTACTAACAGTTTCATTCCTTTTGAAATGTGTCTCTGTATAAATTACTATTTTCAGTGCAGAAAATTGGGATTTTTCTATGATAATGCGGTTACAAAAAACGGAAAGAAAAAGAAAATCATATATGGTTTTAAATCTCTTATTAATACAAATCTGAAGGTGTGGCATCATTTTGGATTTACCACCTTAGTACACATTTTACTAACTCTAAGTCTTTTCAGACTTTCATTGTACCATTCTTATATTTTATTGTAAAGCCATCCCATAGAAACCTTGAATTTGTATTTTCAAAATTCTACTGAAATGTCCACCTCCATTTTAGTCTCAAGTCTTTTTGCGGCCTCTAACAGGTTTTCAAGGACTATCCTGTATTTCCATCCACATTCCACTGCTCAGTTTCCCTGTCCTTTCCCTTTCCTTGTCCATCATTGTGTTTTACAGTGGTGGAGCCCTAATATGGTAAACACCACTCTTTCTGAAACACTTCTAAAAATGTTTGAAAACAATGCTAATGTATTCTTTTCCGTCACTTATCTTGTAAAATCTGTAACCTGACTGAGTTTCAACAATTTGGACACATTTATAAGGCTCTGCAAACGATTATTTAGTTTATATACTTCTAGGTGGAAGGACAACCCTTGTATGCCACAGGGGCTTGTTTACGAAGGAGTGCAGACAGAACCAATAGAGTGTTCTGGGGGAAGTGCTGCACAAAGTAGTCTGCTGCATTGCTTTGATGAACTACTAGGAGTCCAACATGAAGAAAACTGTTGTAAGACCACTAAAAATGTTTTATTCAAAATCCCAATAAGGGTTTGGAAAAGATGATGCGCTGTGATCATCTTGTCTTTTCTTTAGGTGAATTTCTAACCCGCATGAGGAACTACATGCCACCTGCCCACAGAAAACTAATCCATGACATCTCTTTGCAACCATCTCTGAGGGGATTTGTCCAACAGCAGGCCAATGAGGACCTGAACAAGGCCTTTGATGTCTGCGTTTCAGCACTGTTAGCCTTGCGTAGCTACCATATCAATGTTGTTAGTCGCTTTATCACTGTACCTGCTGCCCGAGCTCGACAGCTACGCAACAACAGCCAAGAATCAGAGGGGGAAATGGTCAGCAGAGCCCCCACATCTCTAGAGGAGAGAGGCACTGGTGGCTCAGGCATCATGACCTTCCTTAAGACCGTGAGGGACAAAACAAAAGATGTCTTACTGCCAGACACAGCTAATGACAACTGTCATTAAAGAAGATACAAATACAACTTTGATTACTGTAAAAGACTATTTTAAATGCTGGTGACAAATGCTTGGAAACAAAGTCCAGTGGATTGTTTTTAATTTTCTTTTGTGGAATGACTATTTTAAATGTTAATAAAACTTATACTTTGGCAAAAAGAGAGACATCTCAATTACTTTTCCTACATTGAATATTTTTTACTTTGTAAACAATTCCTAGGCCACAAGACAAGTGGGATACCAATCATTCAGTCCAAACCCTAATTCAAACCATTTCTATTGCTTGCAATTTGATTTAACCACTAACTCCTTTATTTTGTCTTGGAGTGGCGGAGGAATGCATCAGACCCATTTGTCTGCTGAACATTAAGTCATTAGACAACAGTAGTAATTTATTTTGGTTAAAATGGTCTGTGGAATTCAGCTGAAATGTATTTGATAAAAAGTTATGGAGTTTCCAGCCAGCTCACGGACTTAACCTCAGTGAACATATGTTTAGTGGATAAGAGAACACCCTTGAAAATACAGTGTATAGAAATAGCTGAAAACAATGAAGAGCTTTTGTTGCATTTAGGCTTTCCTGTATAACCAATATTGCCGATCTTTTCAATTAAAAAAATAAAAGCCCTTTTATCACCAATTTCCCTGATTATCTATTTATTATATGACACAGCATTTTAAATTGACATCTCTATGAAAGTTATACCCCAGTAGTAACTCGAAAGGATGTACAAGGATGAACTTGCTGGTTGGATTTGGATCAACGTTCTGTTTCATAACCTAAGTGTACACAAACCTATGGTAACAAACTAAAGTCTTGGTTTTTTCTCTAGGGCCCTGTCACACCTTGTTGATTTAAACAGCATCTGCCTGACGTCCCAGAATCTTCTAAAATGCTGAACTTTGTATGTGTTTTTTCAATTTTGGACGTATATATAGCATATTCATAATGAGTCCAGAAGTTATGACCAACAACAGCCTAACTTATGCATAACGCACAGCAGCGTGATGCCCATGGATGATGCACAAGCCAGTGTCCCGAGGGGGGGCAGCAATGCGTCCAGAGGCGCCTGGCTTGCATGAAAAGATAACTTTGATCACTTTATTAACCTAGCTGCTGTTTAGCGCCGGTAAAAAAAAAAGGAAAACAAAGAAAGAAGGTTTGCAGTCGCAGAAGGTTCTGCGTCATGTCTGCTAGGAAGATTGTTGGTCGTGGCTGTGGGTGTGAACACAGGGAGGATATATCACGTTCACCTTCTCACCACCCTATGATGCGGATAAAGTCTGGAGGGGTACTGACGGTTTCCTCCTGTAAACCCTCTTTTATACCAAAACGCTGCCAATACGCCTTTATACAATAGCAGTACGTTGGAAATACGTTCAATTGCCATCTGGAACACGTCAAATATGTTGACATGCATTGGAGATAACTTCCTAATAGGTTCTTGATAAGTTACGCACACTCAGTTACGCACACTCATAAGTTGTGCTCGACTTACAATTAATGTGAGTCAACAATCAAATAACTTACTTGTAACTTTTGCCCCACATATGAGCATACGCTCGCATACTTCTCAACGTACATGCTGTATGTCGATGTATGTCAACATATTTCATCGTGCTCATAACTTATGCAAAACATACCCAGAACTTATCCAATGTATGCAAGAGTTTTTTGCCAGATTTTCCACATGTCAAGCATATGTATAAATTGTCAAGGTGTGACAGGGGCATAAGGCTTTTCCTCTTCTAAATGTTTGGCTGTTCCTGCTGACATTTCTTTCAAGGTGAAGTGAAACAAACTTGCAGAAGGTGCCTGCAGAAGATAGCTAGGGTTCATATTTGAATTAGACAAGCTACTGCTGCAGAACTACATGCCTATCTCATACCTCTACTTCATTAGTAAGATTACTGAAGATGTATTGCTTCAGAAGACAAAACAATGGGAGGATAAATTAGCTAATAGTGAGCAGGTCTAGACAGAAGTAACTCGAAGGAGCTAAGGTGAAAGGAAAGGGCACTAGGGGGCAACAAAGAAGAAGCAGGATAAACAACAGTATCTAAAGGTAACTAGACAGATCTTACATGAGACTAAAGGAGAGAACAGGCAAATGACTAAAACATAAGGAATGACCAGAGGGGAAAAAACTACACAAAGACAACCAAGGCTTTGGAAGACATGACAAAAGGATAATAAGTAACTGAAACTAGACCAGAGAACAAACAATACCATTTATAAAGAAAAGGGATATCCAAGAAGAGCAAAACTTGTCATGATCCTGGCACTAGTGGCTGGCTTGATTACTCATTCCACTCACCTGTTTAACTCTCCCAGGTTTTTCATTACTGCTTATCCAATCCACCTGTTTCCAGCTCCTATATATGCTGGTGTTTTCCAGCTACAGGGGCCAGATTATTCAAGCGTTTCGGTGTGAATAACTCTAGCGTTCTGACCTTTGTTCTGATTTTCTCATTCTGACCCGTTTGTGGTGGTCCCCGAGTTTTGCTGTGTCACTGTCTGCTCTGTTAATCTGCTCTCTTCTGGACTGATTCCTGGATTCTACTTGCTTACCGAACATGGACTGTGCTACTGACCTCTGCTTGGATTCCTGTTCTGTACCTCATTGGCTCTGGTTCGTGAACTTGGTTCTGCTACGACTTCAGCTTTGAATATTCCCTTCTTGACACTGTTGCTCCTTGGTGTCGGCTGACTTCAGCTCCGCTCATCACCCAGAGCTCCAGGGGCGGCGTCCGCTGCAAGTGGAGGACGTGTCTGTGAGGATTCATCTCCTTCCTCTGGGGTTAGACTGAATTCTGAACCAGGTCAGTGACTACTGCTTTCGTAGTTATCAGCCCTTTATTCTTAGTCACTGACCTGAGTTTCTGCTCCTACAGAAGATCCGGTTTTTCCGCTCTAGCCACACGCTGTTAGTGAAATGAAGACACAGATCTGTCTGTTTTGAATATTTGATCCAAAGTTTCGAGCTTTTGACAAAACTAGGAAATCTAGACAACAGCACAGAACAAAACAAAGCATGAGAAGCTTTTAACCTACTTTTAAGGGTAGGCTTAAAACTTTCCTTTTTGATAAAGCTTATAGTTAGAGTGGGTCAGGTTATCATGAGCTATCTATATAGTTATGCTGCTATAGGCTTAGACTTCTGGAGGACATAGGGACCCCTATTTCATCATTCTGCTTAATTCTATCTCTATACTCCCACTCTGCAGAATCTGTTAGTTCAATGTCTTACGTTAAGCTCTCTCTGCTTTTTCTCATAGTAGCTTCATCTGGTCTCTTCCTATTTGGCTGTGACGCCATCCTGGAGAGAAAATCAGCTGTGCTTCTTCCATCAACACCTGTGTTTGTTTATAGATGTTGGAGATCAGCGTGTATTTCCAGTGTAGTCCTGTTTCTCTGACTGTGACTGGTTGGATGTGCTCTCTTCATCCTCTGACATGGGAGTTGGCTCGGAGCTCGTCTGCCTGGCTGTGTGTTTCCTGGATGGGGCCGCCTTTTACAGCTGCTTTTTGTATCTCTGCTTCTGTCTCCTTGAACCCCAGTCGGCCTAAGCAGATGGCCGCTCACAATGAGCCTGGTTCTGCTGGAGGTTTCTTCCTGTTAAAAGGGAGTTTTTCCTCTCCACTGTCGCTGCAAGCATGCTTGGAGTAAGGGATTGCATTTGAGTTAATGAGTCGATGCAATCAAATTGATTTTCCTTAGATAGAAAACTTTGAATCAGTTTGACTGTATGATCTGGTGAACTGTAAAGTTCCTTGAGATGACATGTTTTGTGAATTCGCGCTATATAAATAAACTGAACTGAATGAACCCAAAAAAAAAAAAAAAAAACTTGAACAGAAACAAAAGGTCCAGAATGCATGATCATAACACTTCCAGTGAGGCTTTTATGCTCACCACGGTACAGAGACTGCCATAGTTAATATGTTCAGTGACAGCTGCATAACAGCAGACTGTGGAAGAACCACAGTGCTGCATCTTTAGACCTTAGTGCAGTATTCAACACTGTTGATTACTCTATTTTATCAGACTGCCTGGAAAACTGGGTCGGTGTGAGTGACCAAACTTAAATAAGGACAAAAGTGGTCAAATTGAAAAAAACTTGGATTCAACAATGTAAAAAAAAAAATAGGTTCACAAACGATCAAATTTTTGTACAAAATGGCTTAATAAAAAAAAAAAAAAATGGATTTGGGCCCAACTCAACTGAGGTCAATTAAACAGTAACTGCCTCAAGCAAAAAACTTACCTACTGACAAAAAACAGAGGCTACTTACAGTAGATAGGGGTGAAATAACCCAAACCTGCCACACGAGGGAGGCACAATATAACAGAAAAACAACAAATCAAAAATTCATACAAAACATATTAAACAAATAAAGAACTCTTTAAATGAGCAAAAATTAACAAAAAAAGGTCAACTTGAACGAAATGTCCCCCTCAGCTCTCTGGGAAATTGGTTTGTTGCTGCCTCCCCCCTTCAGCTGATCTGCGTTTGCAGAACCTCAGAGAAAAGAACAATTGTGAGTAAACCAGACACATTAACTAAAGTGTGCACACAATAGAAAATATATTTCTAAATGGAAGAACTTAAACTAAATCTGGAAATAATAAAAATTATAGAAATCTAAACACACAGTGGTGGAGGTGGAACGATCCTCCAGTCGGCCTTTCTGTTACAGCACTTGACTATTTTAAATCCTACTTGGAGAACAGGGACTTGTTTGTGTCAGTAGGTAACTTTGCATCGGAGACCGACAAAAAAACTCATGTGTCGTTCCACAAGGAGGGTTCCTTCTATTCAATATTTAAATGCTTTCCCTGACTCAGACTCAACAACATGTATTACCATAACTATGCAGATGACACACAGCTGTACATTAAGATGTCCCCCTGGCTGGATAAATACATGGAAGAAATCAAAATGTGGATTTCTGCATCAAAGCTCCTCTGCATACCCTAAACCAGAACCAATTATGGAGATGCAGCATTTTTTTGTTGTTGTTGTTTTTTATTCTCAGGTAATCTGGAACAGCCCCACATAAAAATG